GCTAATTCTCTCGTGACACACCCCCGAGATTGCTGACTAGCTGGTTGTAGGCAGTAATCTCTGTACTAGCCTCATTGAGTCATAAATGCGCAAATCTCTTCCTATCTCCATGTGATGCCAAATCTAGGTTCTCTTTTGATTGGATACAACTAGTATTAGGTTCTCTCTGGATACATCTAATAGGCTGAGCGGAGATAGTGGGGCAACAGAGCAGGGTCCTCACATTAGCTCCAATAGGCCAAGATCAGATGACTAATGTGGGTCTGTTGAAATACCCTCTTATAAGTGGGCCCACGAAAAACCACTACAAGAGAGTACGGTAAAGTGAAGAATTATGCCACTGCGCTATAAACGCATACCGGGCTCATAACTATCACGCTAAAAGTGATATCACCGATAGCATTAAGCTAATTGGGTTTATATAGGCTAATTCTCTCGTGACACACCCCCGAGATTGCTGACTAGCTGGTTGTAGGCAGTAATCTCTGTACTAGCCTCATTGAGTCATAAATGCGCAAATCTCTTCCTATCTCCATGTGATGCCAAATCTAGGTTCTCTTTTGATTGGATACAACTAGTATTAGGTTCTCTCTGGATACATCTAATAGGCTGAGCGGAGATAGTGGGGCAACAGAGCAGGGTCCTCACATTAGCTCCAATAGGCCAAGATCAGATGACTAATGTGGGTCTGTTGAAATACCCTCTTATAAGTGGGCCCACGAAAAACCACTACAAGAGAGTACGGTAAAGTGAAGAATTATGCCACTGCGCTATAAACGCATACCGGGCTCATAACTATCACGCTAAAAGTGATATCACCGATAGCATTAAGCTAATTGGGTTTATATAGGCTAATTCTCTCGTGACAAATATATATTAAAGAATTATTCCTTTTAAAATCAGTTAAATTTCTCTTCTATATTAATAATATTGCTTTAATAACAAAAAGACCATTGTTCTCCGTAGGGAGTGGCTGGTTTAATGGTAAAGTGATTCGTGCCCACTTTCCATTATTCATTTCGAACGATGTGCTTGATGAAATCTCTTCATATATATGGGACGATCCCCATTTTATTGAATCTGTAGAGTGGGACCTGTGGATTCACAAGCTATATCACCGGCTACGATTGCATGAAGGAAGTCGTGATCCCTTCTCTCTCCTCTAGCCCCGACAGGAGGAGCTCCGCTCCACCACCGCCATGCCTCCCCACTTCGTCTGAGTGGTTCCAACCGCATTCGAGCGGTCACAACATACCTCTCTCCCTCTTGGGATCTCGATACCCGATCGCCCGCCTCTAGCGGCCGCTGATCACCTCGCCCCTAAATAAGGCTTCATATAATCGATCGCTTTCGCTTCTAGCGATTGCCAGATCGCCTCGCCTCTAATAGGCCTCGATAACCCCGGTCGTCTCTGCTTACAGCGGTTGCCAGCGATCCCCGAACTCCATTTTACTCTCTCTCTGAGAGTAACTCTCCAAAAAAAAAAAACCCGCCCTTACCGGCCCTGAACCCTGCCTCGTACGAGGTCCCAAACAACCCCTGGACTACTCAGCATGAAGTGAGTTGGACAGCATTGAACTTGCAAGCGGGAGTGGAGCGGCAAGAGCGTACATAACGCGGCCGCTCGCTCACCATCAGCATCACAGCCGTAGAAGAACGGAACGCTTGGCTATACCGGCAATTATATGTAAATAGAATTGGTAGTATAGTCCATCCCTAGTACCCCCTGGGAGGTCGTGGTAGGCCTTCAGCCTACCCCTTGGATGTAAAGTAATAAATAAATAAATAAATAAATAAATAAATAAATAAATAAATAAATAAATATTGCTTTAATTACAAACTCATTTTTATAAAAAAAGAATATTAGATTTCTTGAAAAAGCTACAAAGCAAATCTACAAACTTAGCTTGAAAAGTATAATTCAATTCGATTTAGTAAAGACAGAATTAATACACTTTTCAGCATTCAAGCTAATTAAGAACTTTCCAATCATATTACCCAATTCGGATATTATTAAACCTTAATCTTTAATTAGATAATTAAATATATAATTCAATCCAAATCTCAAATTTAATCAATATATCAATATCTGAATTATACAAATAAAAGAAATCTTTATTGAATAACTCAACTAGCAAATATTGAAAAAGACCTAAATTCTAAAGCTCTTCAACAATTATATATAGCTTATATAACTAGTATAACTGATTACAGATCAATGATTTAATAAAAAGAACAAGCCTATTTCAAGAATAAAATACAAGCTCTTCAAAACCTAGCTCTCCGAAAGATACTAAAAGTTTTCAAAATCATTCTAATTCTTCTAATAAAAATCGAATTAGAATTAAAACTAGCAAATATCCGATTAAACTCAAACATCAAACAATATACTTTTCAATTAACAAAACTCTTATCCAAATATTCAATTAACATCGAAAAAGCTATTTTAGTATATTAATATGCTAATCGAAAAGCAATTAACACTCCTCAAAGAAAGCTATATAAACTAATTCAATTTAATAGAATTAGGGAATTAATTGATAAAGAATTTGATTTATTTTCTCTCGAAAAGATTATTCATTTTCACTTCTCTTTATGAAAAAAGGAAATCCCTTTTAAAATTAATATTAGCCAGACTTTAAAAGAAAATACAGTAATATTCCATAATATTATTCTTAAACACAAAGATCAAAATATTATTTATATTTATATAGATATTTTTTCTATTAAAAAGAGAATAGATATTAATATAGGGATAGTATTAATACAATCGAATAATCAGATTTTATATCAAGAATAAGTCAATATTGAAAGTAATCAATTAGTTTATAATAAAAAGCTATATGGAATTACTCAAGCTATTGAATATACTAGCTCAATTATTAATAATAGAAAAAAGTTTAAGATTTATTCAGATAATTAAGCAAGCCTTTTTTGATTGAAAATACTTTCAGATTATTTAAAACAAGTATATCAAATTCGAACAATCAAAGTAATTGAAAACTATTATAATTAAAGAATCTGAAATATTCTTGAATTGAATATTAGGGCATATATCAGTTAAAGGGAACGAGCTAGTAGATAAGCTAGCAAAAGAGGCTATTACAATACAATCCATCTCAAATAAAACCAGTTTCGGATTGCTAAGAATGATAATCAAAGAATCCTTTTTTGATTAATAGAATTCAACTTTCAATCAATATAAACTCAAATCCAATCAATCAGTATTAATTTATTCAAAACTATTTTTATAGAAAATTAGATCGAAAATTAAGCTATTAATTGGAAATCAATCGAAATACTGCTAATATACTTTTCCAATTGAAATTAGATTATGATTATATCAAATCATATCTATATTGATTTAATCACTCCAATAATAGATATATATATAGTAATATTAAAACACTACAATACCTTCTGATTAATTGTTCTATATATAAAACAGAAAGAAAAGAAATATTCCAGAATATATTATTATTGAAAATTACTATACAATTCTTATTGTATATCAAAATAGGTATCGAATTAGCTATCAAATTTATTAATATTACCAAAATCGCTACAAAGATATAGTATCTAATAAGAACTCTTGAATAAGAAATAATAGAGAAAGGAATAGTAATGGAAAAGAAGAGAGAAAAAAATAATAAAGAAGAAATAATTAAGGAAATAAGAGAGGGGCTTGATCTTTTTACAATTTCTTAATTGTTAGAATTTTTTTATTATATATAATATATATAATGAGCAGGCACTATTCTCTAGCATTTATTTTCATTTTCCTAATAAAATCATAACCAATATTGTAAATCAAAAAGTTACTTGTTAGGCCTATCGGGCCTAGCCATTCTATATAGTCTTAGACTAAAGGTGAACGTAAATTCAATCAATCAATCAATCAATCAATCTCTAAATATATATAAATATTATCTACACACACTACGCATCCAAAATCTCATTATACATAACTATCCTCACTATAAATACACACATACACACACTACAACCTCACTCTTCACTCCTCACTCTTCACTCCTCACTCCTCACTCCTCACTCCCCACTCCCCACTCCCTATACAAATATAAACACCAAACACCAAATACATCTCTATCAGTTTCATAAATAAATCACCTATCTCATAGACATATCACCTACCTTGTAGATATATAGATATACATATACAGACATACATATACACATTACAAGCAGTATACTACATTAACCCCCTCTATTAAAGATTTCATTTTATTATCTTTATTTGATATCAACATCACATCATTATTACATCTCCAATACATTACATCATTTTACATTACATCATATCACCACATCACATTACCATCGCACCAACCATCTCATAGCAAAGATATATATTCTATGCAACGCAATACGAGACGATACATATATCTACAACCACCCAATCGCACCCAACCCAACCCAATCCTCATCTCCACTCTTCCCGCTTCTATATTACAGCATCGCCATTTCTCATAAACCCGCTGTCTAGTATAGGAAAACCAAAAGCCAGCGCTGACGAATACATCCTGCTCAGAATATCATGACGTCAGAGACATTCATGCGTATCCTGATTATTAAGTATTCCCATTCTCATCCACGGACCATTTCGATCTATCTCGACTACCAAGACCACAAGTAAAACTCCAATCCAATCCAATCCGTTTGCTCCATACCATGAAATTCATTCCTCTCAAACACCAATCAAAACCTAGCTACGCTATGCATCATAAAAAACGACCTTTGCAAAAGCCACTATCTCTCCTCAAAAGGTGTTTCCTTGTATCCCCAAACACCTAACCGATTGTGAGGAAGAACAGCAAGAAAGCTCTTTTGAAATCAGTCCCCTCCATAAACGCTGAAAGACACTTGCCCATTCCCATCCTGAACACCGTTCACGAAAGTTTGCTCCCTTTCCCACCTCCAATAGACTATTCGTAATGACCGTGCTAACTCCATCATGCAATGAAAATTGGTAAAATTCCCTACGCTTTCCCGACCCAACCAACATGCAAGAAGAAATCAAAAATCTTCCCACCCTTTGCTCCTTCCACTCTCGCAATCTCCTTGACCATTTTCCGCTTCAACTTTCCATCTCCCTTTACTGCCTCTTTCAAAATCGCTTCTTTGATCACCAGATATGGTTTTGGATTTAATCGAGTCTTTTCACAAAGATCAATTTCCCCAGGTGTCAAAAGATGATAATCGGGAGTAGATGATGGGTTGAGCGGTAATGGTGTAATTGTAGAGAGAGGTTGAACTTGTATTGGTTCACGTTTAATAACAGGGGATTGTTGTTTGATTCCATTTGTGAGAGAACCATTACCATTCATCAAGTTTTCTTTGTCATCGTTTGGCTCCGATTTGAGGATAGAATCCGGTAATTCAGGAGCAACCAACGCAGCTGCACCACTTGGAGTTTCAACGACAGGAGGTTTGTTCTTTGTACTTGCGGCGTATCGTTCACGATCCATACTACCCATAGGTTGTGCCTTATGGATTCTCTGTTGCTTATCCTGTTCGTATTTCTCTCCGCTTTTGAGGTCTCCAATCCTCATTGTTCTCCACTCTTGCAATTGAGAAACTGCTAGTCGTAGGTTTAACTCATCAATGAGACCTTTTGAGAATTCTTCATAATCATCATGATTCATCATTCTCGCGAAAGGTTTTGTACGAGTAAGAAGATCTCTTTCTTCCTTTGTACGCTTTTTATCAAGAGCAACTGCTTTGCGATATTCCAGAAGGTTATGTTCAAATATGACCTTTTTACGATCGGCTCGTTGAGTTAACCGCTGGTTGTAAATGTTCATCACTGTCATTTTGAGCTCGAATTCCGGTTCCACCTTTCCAGTAGTAGGATTAATTCCATCACCAGGTTCAAATGACATTAACTGAACGGCCTCTTCTGCTTCATTTGCATATTCGGTCTCGAACTCCAGACGACCAGGCATATAACCTTGAATATCGTGACATGATGGAACACTAGCCGTGGGCTTCTTTTTTGGTTGCGGTGGGGGTTGATTTTTAGCTGCCTCTTTTCTTTTCTCTATTCGTGCCTTCTTTCGAGCTTGGAATTCGTCTCGAGGCAACGCGTCCATCAACTCTGTATCATGTGGACTAGCTCGTTTTGGTAGTGGAAATTTTGGACTATCCAAGTAGACCTTCTTGTAATGATCTCGAACCTCGTCTTTAGTTCGGAACCCTCCAATATGATCTGCAATATCTGCCCAAGAACCCAATCCATATATCTCACACCCTTCCAACAATAGTAGCTCTTCATCAGCCCCCCAATCTGGTTCATAAATTGGCACGGAGTTTTGTTCAATAACTCTAAATGGGTGAGTAGCAGGTTGATGCTGTGAGGAGGATTTGCCATCGGAGAAACATTGTACACATAGGTCGTATTCATTGCAAGCAGAGTGGGCGCATCGAATTCGGACCTATAATTGGGGGGAGAGTTAGCTATTAGGACAATTACGCGGAGCGACAGATCGGATATTGATAAAGAGTAAATACAGTATTCGTGACATCTGCTGAGCACATATCACAGACGTATTTAACACCACCTTCACCCCCTCTCATTGCCGTCTTCTTGCGAATGATCCCCATCGTCAAGATGGTTGTGAATATTTACTTTGCGCCACGATTGACCAACGAATGGAGACGACAGGATTGAGGATTGTTTCTAGATTTAATTGTATCGTGATTGAATGAGTGCAGTAATTCTTTGATGGAATTATTCCTCAAATTAATAAGAAGTATTAAAGTTGTTACGGTGTTGATGATTCTGTGAACGGTAGTTCGATCAATGCGATGAGGTTCCAAGAGTGGGTACATTACAGATGTGGCTCGACAAGGCTACGGTCGAGGACCGGCTAAACCAGATTAGAGGCACCAGCCACATAAATCAGTGAGGCTGAAAATTTTGTTATTCATTCCCGGTTATTACTAATACTAGGTACTACAATAGTAGACATCTTGAAAATTGTATATCGAGGATCCCCTCTTGTGTATGTTGAGGTTGATTTCATTTTCGTTATCTACTAGGTACCCTAGGTATGAGAAGAATGTGAAGATTTCTGTGCTCGACATACGACCATAGTTAATTTTACAATGCATTTTCTACCACATCAATTTTTGGTATTTTCGTGTACGAGCTTGTGATGTACAAGTATATGCTCTGGATGTACTTGAAACTTGGCCCATCAAACAACAGACGGCCGTCCTTATCGGATCCTGTTATCAAGAGTTTTCGGAGTTTAGGCAAATGGCCGCCCCGCCCACGTTGCTGTTACAGAGGACCTGGGAACCTGAGAAATGATAGTAAGTAGATGGTACTTGCACGTGACTGAGGAGACGGCTATCAATTCATCCATCCATCGATCAGTGAAGCCCAAATTCGAGGAGAGATATATTGGAGTAGCCCTATGTCCCGAAGTCCTGAGGTAGATGATGATTTGTTTTACCAGAATCAAATCGAAAAGGAAAAGAAGAGTTTCATATATATCTAGTAGGTACTCCATACTGGCTGGTACTTGCTACTAATAAGCCACTCACTCATTTTATCGTGATTCTAAGCCCCCCTCAAAAACATCCCTAGTAGAGAGTAGCAATGTTACATTGAAAATCGCCCCCTTACAAACGCTGGCCCTCCCTAGTCAAACATTGCGAGAGTATGTGAGAGACATGTATGTTATTTTGACATCTTGAGAAGCTTTCAACACGCAGAGTACCTAGGTAGTGAAACATAAAAACATCCAAAGCAACAAGAGAGAAGGAGAAGAAGAAGAATTACCCAAAATCCCATTACTTCTTCCATATTGATTGATAGAGACGCATTCATTCAACCTCTCATTCAACCTTTCATTCTACTCTTGATACACAACCACGACTGGATTTATAAACGTTCACTCGACCAATATCAATATCACTTACTTATATTACTCACTCACTCTCTTCATGATCACTTCGGTCCATCTAATCGTATCAATCAATTAATTGCGAGTATTTGCCTTGACAATCAATCTATTTTGGCGGGGCAATCGCCTGTGAGCACTTGTTTGAAGCTAAATCCTGACCGCAACGCACTGAACGAACACTTTACTGTCAATCCCTCGAAGAAATCCCGATATCTACTTTACTCCTCATTCATTACCATCTACCACCACCTACCACCTACCATCTACCATCACCCAACATACAACATCAATTACAATCCCATTCCCTAGAATCCTACAACTTATCCTTCTTCCTACGTCCCCCTCTCCTACCGATACAATTTTGTTCCCCATCCCCAAGATGTCGTCTTGGAATATCACCAAGAGTGAGTTGAATTCATTTATAATTCATTCCAGGTCAATCTTGAAACCACTCAGATCTACCTCCTTTAGCTAAATCTTATTGTTGGCTACCACCCCAGCGTCACTTCGGAGAAGTCTATTGAGCTTTAAATCGTCAAAAGCGAGCACATGAATTGGACTTGTCACTAATTATCGCTATCCATTTTTAGAGCTCAAAGAGACGCATCTTGGTCCCCTAACGTCTACCTTCTCTCGAACCCCATCTTCACAAACTCTGAGGGAATCATCCAAAGATGAGAAATCTGGCACATCAAGTCCGGCACCATCTATCAACGATAATGGAATAGGTATGCGCACATCGTTAATCTGGTTCACGAAAAGTATACTGACCTCAAAAGCTGCGTCCGAAGCCATAGCCACTCAACCACAATCCGCTCCTCGACCGGGTATTCTCATCGTTACTCTTCACGAAGGAAGTGGATTCTCTCTACCAGATCAATATAAACAAGTCTTCAGCAATCATACACAGAATTCATTATCTGCGGGAAATGGCTTTGGAGTTGCAGGTTCAGTACGTTCCGGGGCTTCAAACCAAGTCGCGGGATCTTATTCGAATATGAGACCACAAACATCTGGAGGTGGAATTCAAGTTCCTACTAACCATGGACGTATCTCCTCCAAATACCTTCCATATGCCTTGTTAGATTTCGATAAGATGCAAGTTTTTGTCAATTCAGTTGCAGGGTCCCCTGAAAACCCCCTATGGGCTGGGGATAATACTCAATATAAGTTTGATGTTTCAAGAGTTACCGAATTAGCAGTTCATCTATATCTTCGAAACCCAAATGCGCCTCCGGGATCTGGTCGAAGCCAAGATATTTTCCTTGGTGTTACGCGCATCAACCCTCGATTCGAAGAAAAGCACAAATACGTCGAAGACCCCAAGTTGGGAAAAAAAGACAAGGAAAAGGCCGCTGCAGAATTCCAAAGAAGAGAGAGCACATTGGGACAGAGTGGACCGGAATGGTTGGACGTTCAATATGGTACTGGAAAGATTCGCATTGGAGTGGAATATGTTGAGAATAGAACAAGAGCATTGAAGATTGAAGATTTCGACCTATTGAAAGTGGTTGGAAAAGGAAGTTTTGGAAAGGTCATGCAAGTCAAGAAAAAAGATACCCAACGAATTTACGCCCTCAAGACCATTCGAAAAGCTCATATTATTTCACGATCAGAAGTCGCACACACGTTGGCAGAAAGATCGGTCCTTTCTCAAATCAACAATCCATTCATCGTTCCTCTCAAGTTTACTTTTCAATCACCCGAAAAGTTATATTTCGTCTTGGCATTTGTCAACGGTGGTGAACTTTTCCATCATCTTCAAAAAGAATCTCGCTTCGACATCAATCGTTCAAGATTTTACACAGCCGAACTCCTTTGCGCTTTAGAATGTTTACATGGTTTCAACGTCATTTATCGTGACTTGAAACCAGAGAACATTCTTTTGGATTACTCGGGTCACATTGCACTTTGTGATTTTGGCTTGTGTAAACTTGACATGAAGGATGAGGATCGCACCAATACCTTCTGTGGAACTCCCGAATACTTGGCACCAGAATTGTTGATGGGACAAGGTTACACTAAGACGGTTGATTGGTGGACCCTTGGTGTTTTGCTCTATGAGATGTTGACTGGTTTACCTCCTTTCTATGATGAGAATACCAATGAGATGTATCGCAAGATTCTGAGCGATCCATTGAACTTCCCTGGTCCTGAAATTGTTCCACCTGCTGCGAAGGATCTTTTGCAGAAACTTCTCAACAGAAAACCAGATCTAAGATTGGGTGCAAATGGTGCATCGGAAATTAAGGCCCATCCTTTCTTCCACAGTATTGATTGGCGAAAGTTACTTCAGAGAAAGTATGAGCCTACATTCAAACCTAACGTGGTATGTATTTTGTTTTATTCTTTCAAATGTTTACATGCAATATGCTAATGAAATATAGACGGATGCTCTTGATACCACCAACTTTGATGTGGAATTTACCTCCCAAGCACCAGCCGATTCATTGGTAGAAGGCGGACAATTGTCATCAACCATGCAAGAACAATTTACTGGATGGTCTTACAACAGACCGGTTGCAGGATTGGGAGATGGAGGCGGAAGTATCAAAGATCCCAGTTTCGTAGGAAGTGTACAGGATAGATAGATGGATGAAAGTCAGGGAAAAAGGGAACTGGAATTCTGGAAATGACCAGTGGTATGATGATATGACTTCAACTTTACTCGGGCGTCTTTTCTCTCCAGATAGCAATTCGCATACAGATTGAGGGTTGGAGTGGTTTCTCTTCTTCACGAACAAATTCTAAGAATATTATCCGATAAGATGAGATGAGAAGTTATATGAAAATGGATATTCGTTGTTTTTGTATTCTTCTTCGGCACTGAAATTAGTATTGGGGAATCACATGAGAGTAGAGTAGAGTAGAGTAGAGGCGTTACGAAAGCACTTTGTCATGGACAGGTGGATGGGTATGTGGGTTTGATAGAAAGGAAGGAAGGAAGCACGAGAGAGGGTTCGAACTTCTTTCCATTTGAAAATCGAAGTATTTGTTTCTTCGTCAATTACCTAGGGACTAATCATTGGGATGGGATGTGAGAATGTGAGAATGTGAGAATGTGATGTGCTTTTATGAGTGAATGGATATTTTTATGTAGGTATGTAGATAGATAGATGGATAGGTTGATAGGTAGGTTGATAGGTAGGTTGGTAGGTTAATAGATTGGTTGGTAGGTAGGTTGATAGGTTAATAGGTAGGTTGATAGGTAGGTTGATAGATAGGTTGATAATAATGATATTGATACTGGGTACCCAGACTATTCGCAGGAGAAAAAACAGGTGGGATTCGATCACTTCTACAGTACGACATCATTCAATTACTCTCCTTCAATATTATATAAAATAAAATTTCAAAATATTATCTAAACAATAAGAAGCTAAAATTTCTTTTTATCTTTTTGAATTTATATAAATCATTTATAAATTATTTTTTATTCTATTAAGTTAGAGGATTTCGATGAAAATTTGAATTGTCAAATTCCCCCTGTTTTTTCTCCTACGAATAGGTAGGTAGGTAATAATAGTCGGCGAGTCGGGTTATGGAATAGTGAATAGGACGGTCGTTTATGTAAGACTAAAGAGCTGATTATCTAGTACATAAGTCGGGTACTCTACTTTCTGGCTACCCCTGTTTTGAGTCACTCTTTTATACCAAAAATCACTTTTTTAATCTATTAATATCTTTATT